GTCTCCTGGGGGGGAAGCCCAGGCTTGGCCAGCCCAAGAAAACCTCTGCCAAACCTCAGGGTGGCCCCAAGACCCCACCGGGGCCCCCACCAGCTCTGGATCCGGCCCACTGACCCCCAGTTAATCGGCTAAAGCCGCACTCTCTGAACCCTGGCACCAGCCACAGCCATGCTCCCGCCGGCTCTCTCTGCCCTACATAGACATCTGCAGCCACCCAGCATCCGCCTTCACCTCCCATCCCCTCCGCCGTGCCCGCTGCCTTCCCCACACCCACCTGGGGCCCCCGCTCCGCACCCACCTGCCCCACCGGCACAGGGTGGACACATTCCCTTTGGGGAGGCTGGTTTTGCCAGATGCGAGAGCCCAGCACTGAGGCTACAACAGGAGCAAGAGCACCCACAGATACTTGCAGAGGCTGTGGGTGCTTCCCCAGCTGCTGCCTGCAAAATAAATCCACTTCCTCACTCCCAGCTGATACCAGGCTCACCTGTGTGCTGCTCCTCCCAAGGGAGCTCGGATGCTGCGGGACCTCTGCGAGTCCCTGCCCTCCGGAGAGGACCCACCAAAATGAACTGAATTAAATCCCATAAAAAAACCATGGGATCGCTGAAAGCATCCTCGCTAACGCCAGTCCTGAAGATGGGGTCCTAGATGCCGAGCGATGCCCCATTCCCAGCATGGCAGTATCCTACCCTGCTTACCAGTAAATGAGAGAAAGCCCATCGAAGCGCTCCAGGTTGCGTCCAGGAGGCTGGAGGTAGGACATCATCTGGGGCCAGCCGTCCCCGCCGAGCCCTTAGGGCCCCCACAGCTGGCAGCCAGCCACATCTAATCCTGGGCGGGCGAGCATGTGATCGCCCCTCTCCCGGCTCCCCCCGGCTAAACCCCGCCGATGTCTCAAGTTCTCTGGCACTGGCCAGGCATGGAACGGCTGTGCTGCTGCCCGGGAATGCTGCGGTACGGCTAATCCCAGCCATCAGGTCCGAGTCGCCCTGAGGTCGGAGCCACTCGGGCGTGGCACGGCAAAGAGAATCACAGAATCACAGAATCACAGAATAGTAGGGGTTGGAAGGGACCTCTGTGGGTCATCTAGTCCAACCCCCCCTGCCGAAGCAGG